GAGGGCAGCCCCTACCCCCATCTTACTCCCCTGGGTTTCCCTCTCTTCCCTGATGGCTGGAACTGAAGCTCCCCAGAGCCAGGCCCAGGCGCACGTCCACAATCAGGCTTTCAGGGTCTTAGGAGAAGGAGGCAAATGTGCAGGGACTATCCAGTTCCTCCTGCAGGGAGAGCCCACTGGCCACCTGGTTGTTCTTAGGAAGCCTGGGTTGAAGGGGCCATGTAGGAGTGGGCAGCTCATGGCTGTGCCCGTGTGAGGGGCAGGGCTGGTCTCAGATCCCCAAACAGCATTATCAGCAACTTGTTCAGAGCCCCTTTAGGATATCCCCAACAAGGTGGTGAAGTAGAGGGGTAGGTTCCTGGGGCTATTTGCTAGATAAATCAGTGGGGAAATGAAGCAGTAGGGGAGTAGGGGGGAGAAAAGGCCCCTGTGGAAAGCAAGCGCTTCCTGTTCCTACCATGAGGCATGTCTGTCTCCTCTGGACTTCTAGCCCTGGATAGTGGTGAGTGACACTGGTAATATCTATCCTAAGTTGAGCTCTTGCTGCATGCTGCCTACTGTGCCCTTAATCATGTTTACTTCTCAAGAGAGCCCTGAGAGAGGGGAAGAACAGCATTGTGCCTGTATATTTTACCAACCCATCAATGCTCCCGGAGCCCCTATAGGGTTATGGCTGCAGGAGGTACAGCCTAGTAAGGCTTAGCCACTGACCTCGAGCCAACACGTCAGGCAGAGAAATAGTGCCCCAGGCAAAACATTCCTAGGGAATGTTCTTCACCTGGGCTTGCCCTTCTGCTTCTGGTCTGAGATGATGTGGGGCAAGCATGTAGTGATTAGGAATGTTAATGATAAGAAAGATGATCCCGTGTCCAAACCCCAAGAGCAGTTGCACAGGTGGGAGGTAAGGGGAGGGTATCAGGTGCCAGTGTAGTCATGGAGAGCTCCACAGATGAGGTGAGACTTGAGTTTGGCTAGGAGGATGAGGGGCCCCTTCAGTGAAGGTTAGCAAAGATGTTGACAGAAGGGATGGCACATGAGTAACAAAGATGAGCTGTTATGATCCATGTGGTATAAGGAGCTGCAGACATGTTGGCTTTCTTCAAATAAGTCTTTCCCTTGGCTTCTCTGGGTGGAAATGAACCAGGGGGATTATGTAGTCTGATTTACACTGATGGTTCTCAGAGTGAGATGCCCAGACCAGAATCATCATCACCTGGAGACTTGTTAGACAGATAAACACTCAGCTCCTCCCACCCAGACCTACTGAATCAAGGCCTGGAGGTAGGGCCTAGTAATCTTACAAGCCCTCCATGTGGTGGTTCTGATGCTCACTTGGGTTTGAAAGCCACCGTCCTAAACTGCATCCATGTCTGCCCAGTGGACTCTGGTTATAATAACTTCTGGTTATTATCCCAAGCCTGTTTGGTCTGGGATTTGGGTAACATAGGTGGTGACCTCTCCCTGAGCTCTCTCCACTGGTCTTATGATGACTGACCTTGTGTCCTGTCCAAGTGAAACAGTGTCGGATGGTTGACAGACCCTCATTCACATGTTCAACCTACCGTTTGCTAGACACTATTTTATTCTATGCTTCAGGGGTGCAAGCAAGAAACAAACTCAAAGTCTGTTCTTCCATGTGGCTAATGTTCCAAAGGGGGTGATGATCCCTTGACAAAACATAAAAATACATAGTCGTTCTAAGTTCTAGGAAGAAGAACTAGGAAAGTCATGGGAAGGGGACTATTTTTGACTGTGCTTAGAAAAGATTTGTGTGAGGTGATATTTGAGCAGAAACCTGGTTGAGAAGAGGGAGAAGCTCACAAAACCCCTTATAGATCCTGTTCAGGTGTCAGGATCTTGTTTGGAGTTAGGGCAGGCTGCTGGGGAGTTCAGAAGATATAAACAATGTGATATCTCTGAACAGAAATTACTCTGCAGAATGGACCATTGCATAAGAGTAGAAGCAGGGAGATGAGTCAGGAGGTGCACGCCTCCTGGGCTCTGAGTCCAGCCGTGCCCCAGGGCTTGTCCAGTCAAGAAAGAGCAGGGTGGTTGTTGGCCTCTCTGCTGAACTCCCTGAGGCTACATTCCAAGCATTCTGCACAGCTCACTGGCTTGTCTGGCCCTCTTTCCAAATCTGATTGGAGTAGAACTAGCTTCTAGAAGTTTAGTGAGTACTTCCTAACCTCCAGGACACAGTATCGAGTGTGGCAATGACTAGTCCTCACTACTTAAGGTGAAGTGGGAACTGATTTCAGCTTCCTCCTATGGCAGAGAGCACAGAAGCAACAAGCCTGCTCAAAGGAAGAAGACTGGACAGTACTCTGCGTTCTTTTGCTACTGAATTATTCCCAGGTTCTGGCTTTCACACTCTCTGGTTCATCTGCTGGAAGTAAAGCTCCCTCTGGGCAAGAGACATTTGCTAGTCTCAGAGCAGCAAACCAGCTGGGCCGTCGCCTCCTTTGGGGAGATGCTTGAAGGACATGTGGAAATGGCCATGCAGCCTTCCAAAGGGCTCACTTTGCAGGAAGCTAAACCCTGGCAATCTGCCCATCTCCTGGGGCAGGTGTGGAGAGACTTCACCTGGGATGTGCCAGTGTCTGTCCCTAGCTTTCCAGGGACCTCTTCTGGGAAGTGAACCCAAACTGTAGGGACTCCTACTGGCATGTCCCCTCTGGACCCCTGGAAAGAGGGTGCATCCTCTCTGGAGACTGGGCTACTCCAGAACAACTCTGATAAGTATTTAGCATTTTATTCACATCCTTCCCCATGTTACAAACCGTCCTTCTCTAACTTTAGAGAACTTTAGAGGTTTCTTGAGAGGTATCGAAGATACACTCTTTTATTTATCTAATATCTTCCACTCTTTCATCATAGCACATGTACCTGTGTCAGGTACATGATTCTAAGTTGACAGTTACTTTTCTCTCAAGGGAATCTTCAAGAGATTATTTAGTGTCCTCTGGTTTCCATTGTTGCCATGAAAAAATCTAACTGACATTTCTTCAAGGTGGTCAATCCTGTTTCTCTGACTTACCTTAAGATCTTCTCTTTGTCTTTAATGTTTTATGATTTTATCATGTCTGTGTGCCTTCCTTTTGTTATTTTTTAAAATGTTTTATTTCTGAGAGAGAGAGAGAGAGAGAGAGAGAGAGAGAGAGAGACAGCATGAACAGGGGAGGGTCAGAGCGAGAGGGAGACACAAAATCTGAAACAGGCTCCAGGCTCTGAGCTAGCTGTCAGCACAGAGCCCGACGCAGGGCTCGAACCCATGAACCATGAGATCATGACCTGAGCTGAAGTTGGACGCTTAACCAAATGAGCCACCCATGCACCCCTCCTTTTGTTATTTTAAATTTTGCTTGGAAATACTCTGTTCTGTTAGTTATTGTTGCATAACAAACTGCCCGAAGACTTTATGGCTTAAAGGAGTGTTTTTTAGTCTTTTGCTTTCTGGGTCATAAATTTAATAGATCTCAGCTGACTGATTCTCTCCACACAGGATTGACTGGAGTCCCTTGGTGATATTTAGCTGAAATCTGGGCTGATCTGGAGGGTCCAGGATGGCTCTCATATGCGTTTATAATATAAACATTGATGGGGACAGCTGGAAGGCTGGCCACAGATATGTCACTCTTTGTCAACGTAGTTTTGAACCCTCTCTAGTCAGATATTTTGCAGGGGAACTTTTCCCAGGTATTCAGGAGACCAAGGTGGAAGCTGAAAGACTGCTTCTGAGTAGCCTAGCAATCAAGCATTGTGGCCTATTAAGTAAACAAGTCACAGCAACCAGGCCAGGTTCAAGGGGAAAAGGATTAAACTATACTTTGCAGTGAGTGGATTAGCAAACTTTTATGGCCATCTTTAGTTTCTGCATCATCCATGATCTGTGGATGCATTTTTTTATCTGTTTGAGAAAACTTGTAGCCATTTCCTCCTCTGGTATTTCCTTTCCTCCACTCTCTATCTGTTTTCATCTGGAGCTCCAACTAGGTATCTAAGACACACACTCTCTCTGTCTCTCTCTTTAGTAATCTCCACACCCTACATGGGGCTCAAATTCACAACCCCAAGAGCAAGAATTGCATGCTCTTCTGACAGAGCCAGCCAGGTGCGCTAAATGTCTAAGACTCTCTTAACTTCTCTCTTATTTTCATGTCCTTGTCTCTCTGTGCTGTATTACAGGTGCTTTATTTGGTTTATAAGTGGGTTTTTTATCCTGACATTTTACTATTTTTCAAACATACGACCAGGTTAAAAGAACTTTGCAATGAATAGTCATATACCCACTACCTACATTCCACTATTTGACATTTTACCATCCTTTATCATCTCCATCTATCTATCATACATCTATTCATCTTATTGTCTGGATGAATTTCAAGTTCATTCCAGACATCAGTAGTAATGGAGTTTTATTTCAATTATTCATTTCTAGAAGTTTGAATCTGTCCATTTATTCTTAATATGTCTTTTTGCTTAGATATGTCCTTTACTCCTTAAAACATTTTTCCATATAACTATCTTTATCTCATAATTCCAATAAATCTTTGAGTGCAAATTGGTCTCTTGCTAAAGGTGCTTGATCTTAATCTATGTGGCACTGTCTAATGATAGCCATTAGCCACATGTGGCTATTTAAATTAAAATTAATTAAAACTTAAAATTAGAAATTGAGTTCTTCAGCCACATACACCACATTTCATGTTCCCAATGGCCACATGCACCTAGTGGCTACTGCATAGGACAGGACAAGTTATAGAATACTTCCAACATTCATATAAATGAATGGACCAAATGTATTCAAGTAAAACTTAAAAAAAATTTTTTTAATGTTTATTTATTTTTGAGAGAGTGTGGAGAGGTGGTATGGGGGAAGCGTGGTGGGGGGGCAGGGCAGAGAAAAATGGAGATTCAGAATCTGAAGCAGGCTCCAGGCTCTGAGCTATCAGCACAGAGCCTCATGGGGGTCTCAAACCTACAAACCATGAGATCATGACCTGAGTCGAAGTCAGATGCTTAAGTGACTGAGCCACCCAGTCTCCCCTAAAGTAAAACTTTATTTACAAGAACAGGTAGCAACTGGATTTTTTCTGTGGGCAATAGTTTGTGGACTCCTGCTCTAGGCCTCAATGGGCACGCTTTCTTTCAAAGACGATGCACTTTTGTTTGTAGGCTGCTGTGCACCAACCTAGAAGCGTACCAGCCCATCCAGGGCGCTCCTCATAGCGGGAGTCCCAGACTCCTGTCCCCATCTCACTGCTGTCCCAGGAGTGTCCATAGTCCACTTTGGGTCAACAAGTTTCTAGCAAGTTCTTGCTGTTCCAACTCCTTCCTGGTTTTCTTTGGAGAGTAAGGCAGGGAAGGGTTGCCTAGAGCCCCCTCCTTGCAAATAAGAAATGTTGTGTCTCCATTACTCAGGAACTGGTTCTGTAAGTGGGACAGTCCTTCAGAGCTCCCGGTCAGCCAGAGTGCCAGAGGCATGTATTCTCTTCCAATGCTCTCTTGCTATGTCTGCTTAAACTTGGCAGTTCTAACTTCTGCAGAATTGAATAGAACCCTCAGTCGCTGTGGGGAGATGGGGCTGTAGCCAGCTTCCTTCAAGGTGCTCTGCATCACACTACATAGATGTCTGGGGCTTCCTTCCTGAAGTGCCTAGACCTGGTTCACTGTGCAGTAGAGATGGGCTCTCCCACAGCCTAGAGGTTGGGCCTTGCCTATTCTCTCAAAGCTGCTTGGTGCCAGGATTAGTAGCACTGGTCTCTGAGAACTGAGGCCATGGCGAGAGGCTCCAGGGAAATGAGCAGGGGCAGAGGTAAGGAAGAGCTAATGGTAGATGAATAAGGGAAGTCCTTGCTGACTCACATGCTACCCTGCATCAGGATGGTGGAAGGCCCTTGAGGAGCCTCTCAGAGACCTTGCCAGGTATCCCAGGTGTTACCATCGCCTTACTTGGTGACAGACCTTGGATTGGGTAGTCTGCTTCCCTCATCACCTTCCCAGGTGTGAGTCAGGGTGTGAAATGAGTGCACATTCAGCCCCTGAGATCTCTGCCCCTCTATTCTGGAGCAGAGGCTGTGAACACTGCACCATCACACTCCACCCAGCAGGCATTTGTGTGTACCGTTGGGCAGCAGCCACTGGGAGGCAGCCAGTTTCTACCGTTGGGTGCTCACAGGAGGGTGTTAGAGACAACCCAGTGATGGCCAAATGCAACATGACAAATGCCGTGTGACTGCTGCCCAATACAAGGCCTCACAGGGCACTGTGGTCAACCAGAGAAGGGAGGAGTTGTGGGGAAGTAGGTGAGAAGTTTCCGGAGATGGTGACACAGGAGCTGAGAGCCTTCTGAGAAGTCAGTAGCTTTGTCTCTAAAACACAGCCCAAGAGGGGTCTGCTTAGTTGGGATGGAATAAGGTTGTGTTTACAGTGCTCTTGTCAATGATTCATTAGCTGGATCTTCCACAGCCTGGTTCCTTCTTCATTCTTCCCACTCCCTACAACCTCACTCTGTCCTGGCCCCAAAGTGGCAGCTACAAATCGTCTCAGACCCGAATGTCCCCCACATGGGGCTGGGTAGCAGAAGAGCAGAGGAGCCTACTAGGATGAGGGACGAGGAAGCCCTGGGGCTAGAGGGCATCTGTCCCCCCTTCCCCTTCTAACTGCTGGGGAAGAAGATCCTTTGTTCATGGATGAAAACTCAGTATCCCCACGGCTACAGGTAAGCAAGGCATGGGATGGAGAAAGGGGGTCTAATGGAAGCCCTGCTCACTACTGCTTTCTGGAACCCCAAATTGTAGAGTAAACCTGCGTCTGATGGTTTGTCACACTGTCAGCTGCCAGCCCCTTTAGAATGGCCCTCCAAGTCCTCTCTGTCCTTTCCCAGCATGGAGGATGCATTGCTAGGGTTTGCAGCCGCTGTTGAAGAGAAAACCAGAGAAATGGCTTAGCTTTTGTACAGGGTAACCATGGGAGACAGCCTGGACTCCTCACCTGACCCCGGGGGAGCACATCTCTCCAAGAGGAGCCGCTGGAGAGAAGTTCTGGGAAGTTGGGGTTAAATATCAAACTGAACAGGACCAGCCCCTCCAGCTGGTGGTACTGAGTACCAGGCTGTCACCCGGCCCCGCGGCCTGTTCTGTGGGGCCACAGGTCCTGCCTCAGCCGTCCTTTTGGGGACTTCACCCTGTCCCAATGCAAGCCCAGGACACTAGGCACAAGCCCCCAGTGCTTCCTTCCCCTGCTGAGTGGTGAAGAATTCCACCACTGATGCCTTTTCATTCACAGCCTTGGTTGTGAACACGGCAGACGGCCACAAGGACTGCCATCCGTCTGTGCATAATCATGGAATGGTTACTCAGGTACAGAAACCTCACAGCAGGTGGTTTTCGGTGCTGCTTTGCAGCGAGGCAGGCCCACGAGGACTAGGTCTGAGGTTTTGCTTGCCTTCCCTTCCCGTCCTGAAAACTCCCCTGTGCTGTGTCCCACACTGAGCCTAACTTCCAGACTTCTGTTCATGGCTGTAGCCCTTCACCTGTCTGACTCCTTTTTGTCCCTCTAGGTCTCTGCTCAGATGCCACCAACAGTAATGTCACATCACCCTGTTTAATCCTTTCAGAGCCCTCATGGCTATCAGCAGTTTTCTTGTTTACTGTGTGTCTTGCTGGAATGTGAATGTCAGGAGGGCAGGTCACCTGATGAGTTCCCTAGTGTATCTATTGCTAGGGCCCAGAACGTTCTTGGCTCATAGCTTGTAACAGTTGGATGAATGTTCCCTCTCCTTGGAGTATCTTTTTAGGAAATTCAGGAAATACAATGATAAATCCAACTGAGTAAGAGCTTATGATTAGACTTTGTGGAATCCTGGTGGGGTAGGTCTTTGAGTCAGGGGACAAGTCTTTTAAAAATGCTCTAGAGGCATTTTCTCAGTTCTGGATGTTTTGTGTATTTCCATCAGGGAGATCCAATGAGCTCATGAGTACCAGTTATTCTTATAGGAAAATAGGTAGGGTTTTTTTCCCCCATCTTTTAACAACTCCCTACCCTGTCCTGCTCAAATATTAGGTTTTAGAATCCTATCACATTGAACTTAAAATTCTTTTCCTCAAACCCCATGGTTTGAAATTGGGGCATTTTGGGGGCCAGGGGGTGAGCCCAGGAAGCTGATTGTACTCCAGGTAAGTGCTGCACACCCTAGAGTCCCTGAGTGTGTGGGATAGAGGAGGGTGTCCCCCCTGAAGTGCCTAATTCATGGAAAGGAAGGCTTGCAAACCCCACACGGTCCCTGTGACTTGGGCATTCTGGGGATTCTGCAGAGCAGAAAGCAAATTATAGCACCTCGGTAACTTTAAAAACAAAATTTTTAATGTTTGTTTATTTTTGAGAGACAGAGTGCCAGTGAGGGAGGAGCAGAGAGAGGGAGACACAGAATCTGAAGCAGGCTCCAGGCTCTGAGCTGTAAGCACAGAGCCCTACGTGGGGTGGAACTCACAAACAATGAGATCATGATCTGAGCTGAAGTCTGACGCTCAACTGACTGAGCCACCAGGCACCCCTTTAATTGGGTAACTTTTAAAATAAGTTGGGGGCGCCTGGGTGGCTCAGTCGGTTAAGAGTCCAGCTTTGGCTCAGGTCAGGATCTTGCGGTCAGTGGGCTCGAGTCCCCTGTTAGGCCTGCTCTGGATTCTGTGTGTGTCTCTCACTCTGCCCCTCTCCTGCTTGTGCTCTGTCTCTCTTGCTCTCAAAAATAAGCATAAAACATTTTTTTTAAATAAAAAGTATAAGTTGGCACTATTCGTTTCCTGTCATGCCCTGTATGAGAACAGTGACTACGCATCTGGGGCTAGACGTGTTTCTGCCAGGAGGCTGTTTATGGAATTTCTCATTTTCTGGGTTGGCTCTGCCTGCCGTGATCTAGTTTCACCCAGCAGAGAGCTGTTTCTAGGGAGAGCTTGAACTTACTGGCAGGGCCAGACAACCTTAGTTTGTTCTTGGTAGTATCTTTCTCCCTTTCTTTCTTTCTTTTTTTTTTTTTTTAAATTTTTTAATGTTTTATTTATTTCTAGGAGAGAGAGAGAGAGAGACAACGTGAGCAGGGGAGGGTCAGAGAGAGAGGGAGTCACAGACTCTGAAACAGGCTCCAGGCTCTGAGCTGGCAGTCAGCACAGAGTCCGATGTGGGGCTTGAACCCATGAACCGTGAAATCATGACCTAAGTGAAAGTCAGACGCTTAACCGACTAAGCCACCCAGGCACCCCTATCTTTCTCCCTTTCTTCTTCAACTACTCTTCCCTGGTCTGGGTTCATGGGTCAAGTGGCCCCTTCATCCCTGAGGCTGGGGGGGGGGTGGGCAGTGACTCATGGAAGGTGGTAATAGCCCATGTTCCTGCTACAGCTGCTAGAAAGAGCTGTTGTCTAAGACCTTAGGATGAGGCTTTCCTTCTGGTTTATCAGTTAACACTTGGGCTTCTCTGATCCTAAACATTTTTCACTTCCAAGAAAGCTATTAAGCCCAGTCAGAAAAAAAGGAGAAGTATTTGGTAGTGTCAGCTCCTCTGAGATACTAGGTGGTATGAGAAGGATCTAGGAAATGTTGGGGGGAGACTCCATTCCTTTCAGGAATTTAATGATGGGGTTGTATCAGTCAGAACACACTAAGTTATATTATGGTAACAAATACCACCATCTCATCTCAGTGGCTTAAAAATAAAGGAAGATGTATTTTTCACTGAGGCTATAGTCTGTTATATTGGGCAGGTGACTTCTGCTCATCATAGGCCCTCAGGTAGTAGCCTGATGGCTATTGGTTGCCTCACTAAAGAGGAAGAGCTCTGGGGTGTCTGCTTTGCATAGACTGTAAAATGCTATGGTCCAGAAGTGACACTCAAGCTTCCCTAAACACAAGAGGGTCAGAAGTATAATCTTACAGAGTCTGGAGGTGGGAAGAGCTGGAAACATAGAGCAGCCTCAAAGTTAGCAACCGGGATTGACTGAACTGGGCTTCAGAATAGTTCAAACCTTGAAGATTTGAGACTCTGACTTGTGATTGTTTGAATCATTTTTTGGGCTTGAGGGCCATAAAAGTTTGGTTTCATGACCATGTTCTGCTTTGGCCTAGAGAGCTATCACTGTGTGTATTTTCTCAAAAGCCTCTTTTTGGTCAGTTAGTATCAAGAGGCAACTTTAGAGGATGGAAGGTAATTGGGATTAGGAGTTGAGATATGGTATCATGGGCATGACTATTTTAGCACTGTTTGGAGAACACAAACTGAGGTAATATTAATAGAAGTAAAAGGTGGGGATCAAGGGCGGTGCTAAGCCTCCTTTATTTTGCTGTACTTCTACCCTGCCTGAATATCATACTTTGAAGGCAACTTTGACAAGCTTTGTTAACCTGGAACCCAGGAAGTGTTACCAAGGGGAGAGAAGAATCTTGAAAATTATTGAAAGAGATAACTTGGCAGCTACTGTATTTGAAACGCTGTCAGAAGTTTTTCTTCTACTGTTGAGAAAGTTACCTCTCTATTGTGAAATGATTTATACTGCACTGTGAATACCATACTCACTGAGGTAAGTGATGAAAGAAATCAGAGAAGGGAATTTGACCCTCTGAACAAGAGAGAAAGGGTGGTTACAGTAGGCAGTTTCTTGGGTTTCTTCCAATTCTGTCATGATTGTTTCTCTGACTCAGTTTTTTTTCCAGAAATAAAAATAAGTCTTTAGTCATGGGAGAATGACTAGTGAATGTCAAGTGAGACTCCACTATATAAAATGTTCATAATGTTCTGCTAATCCCTCAAGAATCTTGACATTGGTCATAGGCTCTCGATTTTACAGGTGAAGTAACTGAGGCTGAGAAGGAAGTCAACACCTATAATCTCACAAGTGCTTTGGCTTAAGTGTAGGGTCTGGAGACGGACAGCTTGGGTATAAATTTTGGCTCTGGAGCCTTCTAACTGTGTGACCTTAGGTAAGTCCTTTAATTTCTTTATTTTATACTCTGTAAAATAGAAATGATAGTACTTCATAAGGTTGTGAGGATGAACTGATTTAATTATACAGAGTATACTGATCATTAGTACCCTGGTACAGAATGTGAGCTCTATATCTTCCATCTGTTATTTAAACCATTATCCATGTCTGCACTAAGTTTGAAACACTAAAGGAATTTGATTCATATAAATAGGAAAGCAAAACTAATTTCTCTTTTACTTTCTCCTGTGACTCATGAAGATACAACAATATTTTGCTCACTTTTTGGAAATGACTGTGTTCTAGCATTTCAACATAATCTGAGAAATGAGATTTCATAATTGGAGAGAGGTAAATGTATTCTAAACCCACAAATCATGTTTATAGACCTGAATCCTCCAAAGCCATCTCGTAAGCCGATGGCAGAAGACAGGCTGTATGTTCGGGAATATTCACCAAGTATTGTTTTCACGAGTCCTGTCAGGAAATTGATCAGAAATCAGCCTTTCTGATCCAGATTTCAAGGTATGTGCTCGCCCCCCCCCCCCCCCCCCCGCCCACCGCCAACTTTACAAATACTCAAACTCGATACCTTTTTAGTCTATTGCGTCTTAAGTTTTTGTACTTATCAGGCTTAAGCTGGATAGCAGCATGGTACTGGGGCCATTCTGTCAGAATCCATTCCCAAGTCTACTGTAAATTCAAACATAAATGCAAACAAGAGCATGCTTCAGGTCAGGCTGGGGAGGTAAAAGTCCCAAAGAGGCTTGTGAGACTAAAGCATTATTGGTATGCTTTGTTGATAGGGGTTTCTTGTCTCTTCTCTCTGGCAAATGTCTTAGTTAAAGTGATGGTTAAGTCAGAGCTCCTCAAAGAGTCTTTGAGTGGGGACCCTTTGAAAGTGTTAAAATCTGCGGTGAGAGAAGTTACGCAGGAGGGAGGCTGAGGACTGGACTGAGTACCTGTGTGCCCATAGACCCTTCTTGTTCCAGTGTCAAGGTCAGCATCCCCTGGTGGGGATCCCCCACCCCTGCACGTGTCCATTTTCTCTTTGTCCCTCTCCCCACTCTATCCTCTTTCCCTGGCTTACCACTCTCTATCCCTCCCCAGGTGGGAAGCTGTCCTCTATCCCCTGACTGCTTTTGGCTGGGATCATGGGACACAACTGAGGGACAATGGGCATGAGAGAGAGATGTCAGACTGGGTTTAGGTGATTATGCTCTAGTCCCATTTGTATCCCTAATAGAGTTTTGGACAAAGTCCCCATTCCAGATCTGTTTTCTTAGCACTATAAAGTCCACATATGAGTTTAACAAGGTTTCTAGTTATAAAAGTTACTAACTTACTGAGACCTAAATTGACTGGGATATTACTACTACCTGTGTTATTGCTGGATCTCTCAACTGGTTGCTGAGCTGTTTTGGGGAAGGACCATAGCTACTGAAATGTTACAAAGGAGGACCCATCTCACACTCTTTATCTCCTAAGGCTGCATACAGTCTTAGGCAGTTAACAAACATCAGTAATTAGGGTAACTGCTTCCCTGCAGTGTTCACCTTCAGTTGACAATATGATTCTTCCTCTAACTAATTTTCTTCCTGTAAAAAGATTTGGCATAATTTTTGTGCCTCAGTTTCCTCTTCTATAAAATAGGAATAATAGTACTTACTTCCTAAGATTGTTATGAAAATTAAATGAGTTAAAATGAAGAGCTTAGAACAGTTGCCTGGCGTGTAATACAATCTAGCGAGTGTTAGTGGCTATGAGACGTTGCTTAGAGGGTTATAAATGATCATGCATCTTCTGGAAAACAGGGTAACAGACATATCAAGAGCTCAAAACAAATGGTTCTCAGGCCCACATATCCCACTCTGGAAAGCCCTTGGAGAACTCACACATCATTATATTTATCACAAGATTACTACAATAAAAGTTAGAAATATGAGCGATGAACAAGACCAAATTATACCCTCTACTTGACTCCTTTACAGCTGCTAAAAGACTATAGCAATACAAATCTCTGAAAATCTACAAACCTTTGTGCATATAACATAACTCCATGTGAGAAATGCAGTGCACACACTGAAGTGTGAAGTGTGTAGCATTTTGGGTTTTACTTTTCCTTTCATAACTAAAAGAGGAGATCTGTGGCAGATGCATAGTCAAACAAAAACTGGGAACACAAGATGATGAGGTTCTTTCCTTATCTCAGGAAGACTTGATTTTAATGATAATTATCACCTACCAGTTCTTTTTTGGAATTAGCTGTCTTTAACTACTGTTCTTAAAGTTTATTCAGAAAAAGACACCTCATTAGAGATAAGCAACAGCTATCTATCTAGGGATGTGGTGCACCAGATTTTTTTTTGTGGGGGCGGGGGGGGGGGGGAAGAGCACTCCCTTGTGTTCTGGGGCTGAAGGCAGCCTCCAAAATCAGTTGGTAGGAATGTGCTGAGTCTTGACCAGCTGTAACAAGGTGGTCTAATACAATCTCTGCTTTTGTTTACAGATCTTAGGAGAAAAGGACTACTATTCATCCCAAAATGATGAGGGCAGGCTGACTGGAATGGAAAAGTATGTTCTGGAGGTTTGGTTGTTTATTCAAGATGTGCTGATATGCAGTTATTCACTTTGGAGTTGGGGGAGCCTAATTAATTTACATATAGTCCAAGTACCTGAAAAGGGGGAAATTCTATCAAGTGTTAAAACTAGGGTGTCAGATAAGCTTTCCCTTGCCTTGTTGTAAATGGGAGAACACCCCGGTAAAATACAATGAACTAGAGCTGTTAACATCCCAGGGAGTATGATTAAAAACCACCTCTTCAGGCTAAATTTTCATGTGAGGAAAGACTTTTATACAGACATGAACAAAGACTTGTTGCCTAATGGAAAAGACTAGAGTTTGGATAACAAACTCAGTTAATGAATTCAACAGTCTACAATATAGTTTTACAATTTTATTGTCTAATCTTAGCCTCCTCAAAAACTAACATTTCTCTACTAAGAGGGATCTAGATTGTGTTTTCTATTCTTCCCTTCTATTTTTTTCTTTAATATTTATTTATTTATTTATTTTGAGAGGGGTGGCCAGAGAGAGAGAGGGAGAGGGGGAGAGAATCCCAAGTGGGCTCTGCAGTGCAGAGCCCAATGCAGGGCTTGAACTCATGAACTGTAAGATCATGACCTGAGCTAAAACCAAGAATCAGATGCTTAACCAACTGAGCCATCCAGGTGCCCCTCTATTCCCTTCTAAAACATTCCTAGAAAAAAATGCTGTGAATATCACACACATTTTCTGGCCATGCTTAAGATCTCAAGCACTGAGTGTGACTGAGTCTTTGTCTTATCAGCTAAGGACCCTCATCGAGAATGCACTAAGAACCCATGAGGTGGAGTAAAGATGTCCCTTTCTTGAAGGTGTGGATGGGTCTCTTGGCTTCTGGTGGCAGTCGGTATTTACTATGCTTGGAAGATTAGGCAAGATTCAGCCTGGATTGAGTAAATAGGAAAAGTCCCCCAGTGCTAATCCATGTTATTTCCTGTGGGGACCAGGCCCCTTCTCAGTCGTCATCATGGGAGAGTTATGCTTGCCTTCCGACCTAAGGAAGGGTTGGCTATATTAGTCCATCTATTTGTGTCATAATTTAATTCATTCCCACTATGGATCAGGCATTGTCCATGGTACTTGGGGTTCAACAGTGAACCTAAAAGACCAATTCCTTCCCGATGGATTTTACAGTCTAGCCAGGAAAATTAAAGAGTATATTAGTTGATAAGTTGATATGTTCTATTGAGAAATGTTCTTTAAAGGTGGTGAGGGAAAATCTTGTCGAGAAGGCACGCGGGAGAGAGCTGTGCAGCTAGCCAGCCTGCAGGGTGAAGAGGCCTCCAGATGGTGGTGAGACCCTGAGGCAGGGCTGTGCCTGAGACAAGCAACAGTGAGGGAAGGCAGATGATGAGTCGTTGGAACAGTCTGGAGGATAGTACGGCAGAAGGGACCAGATAGTGAGACTAACCAGAGTAGTCTATTCTTCTATTTTTAGATGCAGATGGGTGTGAAATTGGCCTGGAGCTCTGTGATGATGGAGCAGAATGTGTGAACAGATTTGGCTCTTACTAATGTCACTTCCAAAAGGAGTATGAAGACCATACCCCACGCAGCCTGGCATGCTGTGTGTGCACACTCCTCACAAAGACATCGGTTGCCCAATGTACGCTTGTAAGCTGCTGGGAACACCTGTGAGACCTGTACCGTCCTCAGGTTGGGGGCTGAGCTCTCATTCTATGCCTCGGGCCACAAACACCAAAGCAAACATTCTCTGAAGGATACAAAGTCCAGAAACTGTTCTAGAACTTGGAACGTGGTATAAAAGCATTTACTGTAAGAATTTTCATTGTACTGATTCTTCTTTTGCAAACTTAACTTTGGAGCACTTCCATAAAAATTCCATTCCTGACTCTGATCAAAGGAGTTGTGTGTAGAATTTAACTTGAACATCTGGTTGTTTCCCCAGAACTCCGTCTGTCATGCCCTTGCTTTTAGACATTTTCTTACCAAAGATAAAATCGGGCAGGGACTTGGACAGGATTGAGTGAGCTTCTTCTGAGCAGGTTTGGCATAAAGCAATTGGTAATGAACTAGTGGATGCCCTTAGCCCTTTTAAGGAGTTACTGCTGTTGATGGTAATTCATTTGGTACTCTGAAATAATATAAACGTGCGGGTGCTACCACAGGCAGGTCAATAGGTATGATTTCTATTTCTCAGCTTGCTAACTTGCTGTGCAAACTTGGTCCTTGGGTCTCGAACATCCCTATGACACAAAGGGTTGAACTAGACAACAAAGGTTTTGTCTAGCTCTTTGAATATTAGGTGTTGACATTCCAGCAAAAATGCCGTTAGACCTCAAGGGCAGGTGGGTGACCTTGCAATACTATTTGCATAGTTTTTTGGGTTTGTGTGTGTGTGTGTGTGTGTGTGTGTGTGTGTTTATTAGTTGTTCTATTTCAGAGGAAGATTGAGTATGCCACAAAATACAGGCTTAGTATGTATTAACTGAATTTCTTATGGCTAGGAATCTACTTTTGACTGAAAATTTGTAATTTTCTATATTTTTTCTCTTCCTGCACCCTCCAAGTGTCCAGATAAGGCAATCTCTTTATTTGGTCTGCTATTAGAGAATACCATAGCTTGAGTGATATATAAACAACAGAAATTGTTCTGAAAGAAGGAAGGCCAAGATTAACACTGTAGCAGATTCAGTGTCTAATGAGAACCTGCTTCCTAGTTCTTAGAAAGCCATCTTCTTAATGTGTCTTCACATGGAGGAAGTGGGCAAGGGTGTCTCTTCCGCCTCTTTTATAAGGATACTAATCCCATTTACAAAAACTCAACCCTCATGATCTAATCACCTCCCAATTCCACCTCCTAATACCGTCACCTTGAGTGTTAGGATTTTGGTATATGAATTTGGAGAGGACATAAACATTCAGTCCATTGTAGGCAGTGACAAGAGTTAAGTTGAGGCAGCCATCTTGAAGTTTCAGAAATCTGGCCTCTGTGGATTTTGCTCTAGTGATAGTTTCTAGGTGGTATGCAAACTAGTTCTAGTTCTTTGGATCTCCAGTAAGTTATGTGATGATAGAGTACATTTTGGAATACACCTGGCTCTTGTTCTTCTCCGGGTGAATGGTCTCAAATTTAATGGTTTCTGGTGTTTTAAAAATAGACAAAATTAGGGATGCCTGGGTGGCTCAGTCGGTTAAGTGTCCATCTCTTGATTTCAGCTCCGGTCTTGATCTCAGGGTTGTGAGCTCAAGCCCTGTGTCGGGCTCCATGCTGGGCGTGGAGCCTATTTAAAAAATAAATAGACAAAATTAATTTCTGATATTCCTAAGATGGAAGGCTTTTAGTCATTAGCTCTTAGGTAATTTAGATTCCACATCACAAGAGGATATGGGACATTTTTCAAAGTTAACTCCTGTATGAATAGGGTTCTTGAGAGAGCTATGTAGCAAAAGTTGGTGAAAGGTCCTTATATAACCAGATTTGTTTTGTTTCACATCTGGCTTTGGAATTGATAAAATATTAACAGTAACACAGTAACAATATTAAATATTCTCTCAAAAAGTAAGTACCTACTAATGTGCCAGGCAATATGCTAGGGACAGGGGATAAAAGTATAGATCTGTGAAGGTGCTTTTGAGAGCCTAATAGGTAATGGAATATAAGCCTGTCATTTGGTTCTCTTAAAAAAAATGTTTCTTTGTATTTCAGGAGTTGAGTTATCCTTTAGTTATCTGGACCTGCTGGTTGGAGTTTCTGTATTCCCTGCAGTCTTCTCATGTTGGCCATCGGCCTCATGTGGCTTGTGACTAGAACACATTTCTATATTAAGAGGAAACATTCTCTGGGTCAGAATGTGGCACCACAGAAGCACCTGCCTATAGCACCTGCTTTTGACCTAATGGACCTCTACAAACACCTTCCCTTTAACCCCTGCCAGCCTAAGCCCCATGCCAGGGTTCCACATGGTGCTCAACACAAGAATGTTTCTCAGAACAGGGAACTGCAGCTATGGGTGGAACAAAACAGAGGCTCTGAGGGTAGCAGCTGCCTCTCTAAAGGATGGGAGTAAAAGACCTTGTCCTTTGGAGGACAAATTTCACTGTGCCACCAAATCACACACTCATGAACTTAGGAAGAACTACCTTGATTATGATCCTGCCTGTCACTTCCATTCTCTATGATTCCAACTGTGTTGTGGTTCCTGACTCTCCCTGAGGAGAAGGCCTGTTTGTTGGGGGGCGGCGGAGAGGGGGCGTCTTCCCTCAAGGCTCAGCCTATAATCCCAGCACTGGGCTGAGGTAGCCTTCCTGTGACCCAGACACTGCAGTTGATGAGTGTGGTCCGCAGAAAGTGTCCAGAACAGCAGGAAGCATGTGGTACCAACCTTCAAAGTTGAAGGAGTTTATCAGTGGACAGATTAGAGAACTGTTAACATGGTTTAGAAAACTCAACCTCAGGATTTTTTCTCTCTTTTTACAGAAAAAGAAACTCCCTTAAAAGTAGTGGATGAGAGCTCTTGATTCTTTTTCCTTCATCCTTGGTTGTATTTTATTGGATTATAAGATTGTATTTATGGAGAGATTCTGTCTTCTCTTCTTACTCTATTTCAGTCACTACATGTACCAGTTTGATATGAAAGCCCTACAGTTTGACCCTAAATAAAAAAGGAAAATCCTTTATATTTAAAAGAAATACAACTCTGTGGGTCCTTTTTTAATATATATATTTTTAATTTATTTCTAGGAGAGAGAGAGAGAGAGAGAGACAGCATGAGCAGGGGAGGGTCAGAGAAAGAGGGAGATACAGACTCTGAAATAGGCTCCAGGCTCTGAGCTGGCAGCACAAAGCCCGACGCAGGGCTTGAACCCACGAACTGCGAGATCATGACCTAAGCAAAAGTCGGACGCTTAACCGACTAAGCCACCCAGGCGCCCCTGTGGGTCTTTTTTTAAATCTACCACTAAGGTTTGGCTCTTTGTCGTGTGTGTGTATGTGTGTGTGTGTGTTAGAGAGGGAGTGTGGAGGAGGGGCAGACAGAGAGGGGAGGAGTCCCAAGCAGGCTCCATGCTTAGCACGCAGCTCTCAGCACAGAACCCAAGGCAGGGCTCAATCCCACAACTGTGAGATCATAAACTGAGCAGAAATAGAGTCAAATGCTTAACAGACTGAGCTACCCAGGCACCCCAGGTTCTTTGTCTTTTATAAGTGAGGCAATCACCATTTTTTTATGTTTATTATTTTGAGATGGGGGAGGGAGAGAGAGAGAATCCCAACCAGGTTCCACACTCAGCTTAGAGCCCGATGTGGGGCTCATACCAAAAACCATGAGATCATGACCTGAGCCGAAATTAAGAGCGGGATGCTTAACCAACTGAGCCACCCAGGCGCCCCAATCACCATTTGTTTTAAAGTTTGCAGACCTAACTCCAGTGCAGGAGATCCCCCATGTACAACACCTAGCAATTCTCAGACACCAGGAGGGTATCCGAGAACCCAGCTGAATTCTGACACTACCTGTCTGGAGGTGCCATCAGACTCCACAGGTCAAGGGTTCAGTCCTCAGACTGCCTCTCACCCCCCCACCCCCACTTCAAATACCAGTCAAAAGTCCCAGGCTGTGACCTGTTCTTCTGACCAACTGTCTACAGATTGGAGGTTCCACTGACCTCCTTCTTAGGTTTGATTAATTTGCTAGAACTGCTCACAGAACTCAGGGAAACACTTGCATTTGCCAGTTTATTAAAGGATATGATAAAGATTACAAATCAATAATCAGATGAAGAGTTACATACAGCCAAGCTCCTAACAGAGGAGCTTTTGTCTTCGTGGAGTTTGGGGCCTGACTTGGCACATGGAAGAATTCTGGCTCCCCAAGTGTGGAAGCTCCCCAAAAAGGACCAAAAGCTGTCCCCTTGGGTTTTATAGAGGTTCCATCACATAGTCATGATTGGCTAAGTCATTGGGCTGTAGCTGATTCAACCTCCAGACTCTTTCCCCTCTCAGGAGTATGGGAGGTGGAACTGAGATTTCTATCTCCCTAATCACATGGCTGGTCCTCCTGGCAACCAACCCTGTTCAGGTGGGGTCCAGAAGTCACTTCCTTAATAATAAGACACCCATTTTACCTTGACGTCCCTGAATCATTTTCAGGAACTGTGGATGAAGACCAAATATATGTGACAGATGTAGTTTGGTCACCTTATACTTCTAAGTCATTATATTATACATCCCTCGGATCTTTGTCTACACTTGACATGTTGTGGGGGAGACATTGGAGAGGATGCAAGAAGTCTTAGATATGGTTCCTGCCCTCACTATGCTTGCTTTTATCACACTGAGCTAAATGGGCAAGGGAATGAACACACATTAAGGAATAGGTGCTTATAAGTGACTGTGTCCTATAAAGGTATAGTGGGAGACATCTGTGAAGTTGAGAAGAAAAACTTAGAGGCAGGCTAAGTTCTGAGTCTCTAGAAGCAGAACCATGCTATCTGCAGTGCCAGGTATGGGCCTGGTCTCTAGAAGTAGCTCCTTCCTTGAAGTTAAGCTGCAGAATAAGGGGTGCATTGAAACTGACCTCATGCTCTTGGGGAAATACGAGGCTCAAGAGGACTGGCAGTTCTGTCCTGGCCTTGGCCCTATCCTCTTCATCCTAACCTCTCCCAAGAGTGGCCTCGTCCGCTGTATGGAGCCCAGGAAGAGTTGGGCAGGATAAGGTGCGAGGCCCTTCTGAGAAGTGGGATGAGTGGCGTCTCAGATGCCCCAGCTGGCCTGAGCTGGCCGCGGGGATGGGCTGGAGCCGGTTCTATGCCTGCCTTGTGGAACGTTGAGGCATGGGAGCCGGGGTACTGTTGCATGCATGTGGCTATATTAGGCAGGTACTGGCTTCCAGATGAGACCCTAGCGAGATGGGAGATAAGGAGTGTGCAGCTTTGTTCTAGCTCTGCTCCAGAACGTGTGTGAGGAGGGCACCAGTACACCGGGGCACCTGTCGGTGGAGCAGGACACTGTCTACCAGGATGACTTGAAGAAGTGCTGGCCAGCTGTCACCTGGCCTTCCATCATACTCTAGGTTTTGAAATCTTTTTTTTTAATGAGCCCCTTTTATTTATTTATGTTTTAAATGTTTATATATTTTTGAGGAGAGGGAGGGGCCGAGAGAGGGGGAGACAGAGGATTCAAAGTGAGCTCTTTGTTGACAACAGAGAGCCCGATTTGGGGCTCAAACTTATAAAACCAAACCGTGAGACCCTGAGCTTAACTGACTGAGCCACCTTGGTGTCCCTTTATTAGCCCCTTTTAGAATGCAAATACTCCTAAGAGAGTTGAGCCTTCATCAACCTTGTACATGGGCTGCACCTTCTTTTTAAATACGTTTTACTGAGGTATAATTTACACGCTGTAAAATCCACCTATTTGCTGAGCCATGCAACCACAATCCAATTTTACAACACTGTCGTCACTCCAAAAAGATCCCTTCTGCATATTTATAGCCATTCTCTCTACCTTCAGCCTCAGCAACCACTAACCTTGACATTTCATAGAAATGCAATCATATAACATGCGGCCTCTTGCGTCTGCTTTTACTTAGTATAATGTTTTTGAGGTTCATCCATATTGATTCGTGTCAGTAACCTGACTTTTTATTGCTGAATGATATTTCATTGTGTTTATCACATTTTCATCCACTGCTGCTGAACACTTATTTCCAGGTTTTGGCTACTATGAATAATGCAGCTGTGAACATTTGTGTACGTCTTTGGACATAGATGTTCACTTATCTTGGATAGATTCCCGGCAGTAAAAGTGCTAGGTCACATGGTAATTTTTGTTTAACGTTTAAAGAAACTGCAAAACTATTTTCCAAAGTGGTTCAACCATTTTACCGTTCCCACCAGTGATATATGAGGATTCCAGTTTTTCCACATCCCTGCCAAAGCTTGTTATTGTCTGTCTCTTCTATTATAGCTTTTCTAGTGGGTGTGAAGTGTGAAGTGGTATCTATCTCATTGTGGTTTTAATGATGCCTGCCTGTCCTCCCTAATGCTCCTGATAGAGCACCTTTCATGTGCTTATTGGTCATTCACTATTTCTGTGTTGAAATGTCTCTTTGGCTGTTGCTTCTTAAAATCCCAAGACACGGAGATTATAAACTTCCCTGGAGGGTGGTGGGGGATGGAGTAGGGATCTTGTTTTTTAACTGCCTTATCTCAAGTGCCTAATAAAAGAGTTGAGAGTAGAAGGTCATGTACTAGTTTCTAATTGCTGCTGTAACCAATTACTACAAACCTGATGGTTTAAAACAACACACGTTTATTCTGTCACAGTTCTGAAAATCAGAAGTCTGAAATCAGTTTCACTGGGTCAAAATCAAGGTATCAATAAAGCCTCTAGGGGAGCATCTGTTTTCTTGCCTTTCCAGTTTTTAGAGCTGCATTCTTTGGCCTCTGGCCCCTTACCCATCTTCAAAGTAAGCAGGGTAGCCTCTTAAATCTCCTTCCATCCCCCCTCCCCCCTCCTTTGTAATACCATTCTCTTTCTCTTCAGTAGTAAACTCTCCCTCTCCTTCCCTCTTGTAAGGACGCTTGTGGTTACATTCAAGACTCACCTGAGTAATCCGGAATTATCTCCCCATCTCGACCCCCTTAATTTAATCACACCGTGCAAAATCCCTCTTGCCATTTAAAGTAACATTCACAGGTTCCAAGGATTAGGACCTGGATATCTTTAGGGGCTGGGATTCAGACCGCAGTCAGTAACCATCACTGCCTCACTGGCTCCTGCCCTGGAGGTGGCGGCAGCTGAGGAAGACCTGAGTAGGGGAGTCTGTAGAAGCACAGGTAGGCCCTGGAGCGATATCAGAGCTATTTCTACGACAGACCCCTTCCTTTTCTTCTTCTTCTTCATCTCTTCCTAGAACTTTTGAGGAGTTGACAGCATTTAAGGGCTGAGAAGGGCTGAGGCAACCAGCACTGTTATCGGATGGTGTTGGGGACAGAATGAGAACTCAGGGCTTCTGAAGCCGGGGTCTTACCCGTCCCTGGCTCTTCCCCATGTTCTCTCCAGGCGGGGTCGCGTGGCTGCGAGGTCATGGTCACTGTCGGGGCCGCAGCCCCGCTGCGTCCTCGCGTGCGGCCAGCAGGGGTCAGCATCCCCCGCGCAAACGGTCGCGGCGCTGCAGCCGCCGGAAGGTGGGGCTCGGCGCTCCTCGGCGTTTCTTCCAGCCACCGTGAGTTGTTGCCGTTGCTGCGTCACCGCCTGAGCCACACAGCCGCGTGTGTCTCTTCTGCTTCTCACCCTAGCACGCTGGTCGCTGGCCCGCCCTGCTTCTCACCCTAGGGAAGGCGGAGAACCGCCTTCGGGCGTGGCAGCCAGCGCGCTGCAGGACGGAGGGCTGGGACCGACAAGGCTCCCTCCTCACCTGGGCCTGGAGGAAGAGCCCCCTGCCCGAAGTCGGGGGTGTGGGGGACGTGGGGGAGGGGGTGGGCCTGGGTGTGGTAGTGCCCGAGGAACAAAGGCGGAAGGGTCAGGGGCCTCAGTTTCTTCGCGCACTGAGAGCTCAGGGAAGGACTTCCTGGTGGCTACGGGCTGTTAGATTTGGAATGAGTTTCTCATCAGGCACATAACATTCCTGGCCAGTTTGTCTCCTTCGGATGTCCCGATGGTTCCAAGTGGAAGAGCTGCCC